GGGGTTCCATTCATTTCTTCTTCGCATCACAATTTTCTTAAGTGCTCGAAGATTCTGAAGTACACCCTGAGCTCTTTGCGACAGCGCAACCGCAAACTCGTTTATAACTTGCAGGGCACATCCATGTTGTCTTCGGCAAGTCTTTTGATCTTCGTCACAATTTTCGCTACTTCCATACATGCCGCTGGACTATCATGATAATGTTCACCATAACTGGCAACAGTTATACCTGCTACGTTTAGCCTTGCTTTGTATCGACCCTTCTGTTCACAGCACCGAAATTTCCTTGTTCCGTCAGCACTCCGGTACAGTTCATGTATCTAATATAAGCAACGATGGAAACGTGACAGTGGAACTGATCTGTCCAGACGGTGTCAGTTTACAATGACTACAACAATACTGCGCTGTTAACTAATGACCTTGCGCAATTATAAGAGGGAACCAAATGAATAAATACTGAAAAGGCATAAATTTGATGGTAGATTCGTATTGTGCTCTCAGTGAGACGTTTTAATATTGTATTCAGAGAGAACAATTCAGTAATATGTAAATAATGAACATTTGATGATGAACAGTCGAATTCGCGACCGCACAACGCGCGTTGAATTATTCAGTTCTTGCAGGCAGAAAAATGAAGTCATAAAATGAAACACGAAATCTTAGAAATTCGTTAACATGACAAAAGTGTACGACACAAGTTTCCACTGCACTTACGGAGAGCTTCTCTTAGATATGTAACATTGTGGGTTCGATATTACAACTGATGAGATGACCACAGGCCATTCATAGAGAATTATATACGTGTCACAGGACTGCACGTTGATAACGACAATTGAAATGGACGACCCTATTCGTCAAAGACGACCAAATGAGCACATGATAGGGAGTGAGGTAGCAAATTTCCATCTCATCGCGGCGGCCAGTCATGAATGAAAAGTTTTAACTGGTTCAGTTGAATTTTATTTGTGTTGAAGGTACGTATATTCATGTATGATTTTGCAATAGCCACGACACCAATAAGTTAAATTCATTTTTTCAAAAGCTGATGTTCAAAAAACGCGATTGGCGTTTATTCAGTTTTAGATAGTTCTTTAAAACGACGCTTTATCGTTTCTTTTGCTTTCCGTTTCCAAGTATTAGGGCCTTCAGAACTTGGGCCACAGTCCCGATGAAATGTCCAGATCATTTTTTAATATGGCTGAACCCACAGAGCCTGCTTTGGTGGGCTTTCTTGGTGCAGCAGCCTACGCTAGTGTAGCTCTGATGAAAGAGTATTAGATCTTTCCTACTGAAACGAAATATTTATTTCAACATTTGCCTTTCAACAAGATCAGGTACTGGTTGTCTCTATTCAATCCAACCCAACATTCAGGTCTGTGCAAGCGACGGCTTAACTACTGTTAAAATCTTCATTTTATGACTGGTAGGCATTTTCTTGCCAGAAAACATGCAGCTATCCTCTACAAATACAAAAAGTTTTTATCGAAAGGTTTCTTAATTCGCCCCGATCCACCTGTGATCATTTACTTATGAAGCTTAAACGGGGACGCGTCAAGAGCGCGTATGACAAAAATACAGCGACAAATGCGCATCTGTGAATATACTTTCAAATTTTGAAATAAACCACTCCACGTATCTGTTATAGAAGACATTAGTTGCTAATATGCATTTGCAGATTTTAACGCTTATATTATCAGTTTACACAATGCAATTACCTGAAAAATTTGTTATTACGCTGTTGGACTTAGGTTCAGGCTTAGCACGTAACGTGTAATTTTGAATATAACTGTAGTGTATAAACCTTTATTCAGACGTCTAATTCTGCACGCAACAATCAACTCCATTCGTTAAAACTGAAATTAGTCAGCATATTTAGTGATTTATTCGAATCAGTATATTACAACATGTATTTCGCGAAGTCTGCTGTCGCCATACAATATCACACCATTGTCCTATTGCATACATTATCAGATATTTAGCGCATTTGTGATGGCAAAAAATAGAAACAGATTCAACGATGTGTCCGTGCTAAAACAGAAAATCCTTTCCTTACCGTTATACAGAATTATTTTGAATGAACCTAGCATACTGTCTTTGACTCCTGTGTTCTCAGGCTCCACTGTAACAGCTCCCGATATTTCAACATTTCTGTCAAAAAATTTGTTTTCATACATTGTAAAGATTACGTCAACGTTTCTGCTTTGTTCTCTGTAAATTCTGATGATAGGTGTATCGAATCGCCCGCTCGACAAATGCAAGTAAATATGGGAAGGAGTTATAACAAAAACCCCAAATGAAAATTTTCATACCATGTATAAGTTTTCCATAACATGGTAATCGTCGAGCACTTTCAACGCCATATCAACCATCTTCCCAGACTGAGACAGGAGGGAACAGTGCAGCTGCCGTTTTCTTGTCGAATGTTCGATCGTCTCAAGAATGATTGTATCTTCGATAAGTCGTGAAATCATCAGAAAGACGACTTGTGCTTGACAAAGCTGAAAGGCAACATAAATGTAGCGAACAGAAACGTGCAGGCTCCAAACAAAAGAAGTTCCGAAACTGATTACAACTTGACGAACGATGCCGTGTCATAATTTTCAAAACTAACGCCTGCCCCTATCAGACGCCATTTATGCGAACAAGTTTTTGACGCAAGAGTATGTGTCTGCTAGATTCTGAGAAAGAATTCACGGAATTAATGGACTCCACCACCTGTAGAACCAAAGGTTAAACACAAAACGGTACAATACAACTAATAAACACAATAATCTTCCTTTAAAGAAACCTTCGCTGGATGCGATTTGAACTCTCTAACTGTTATGAGACTATTCTCAAGGTCCAACTTTTTAACGATCAGATAACGGTGTCCTAAGTAAAAGTTAAAACTTGTTTAAACGTGTTTCTACTTTACTCATAACTAAATGACAATCTAATAAAAGCTAACGGAAAACATTAAGACCCTCACAACGCTAATAAAACTCGTTTAACCTGTACAATTGTAGCAGAATTTTAATACACGAAATCTCCAAAATGAAATATAAATTAAAATTGTACAGAAAAACAATTCAACTATGTTTATAGATAATTCGGAATGTAATAAAAATAACGTACTCCTCGCAACTCTCCCTCGATACTGACCCAACTTCTTCCACTGGTCAGAAATTCCGAATAGCACTGTTCAGTTTGTCCACGTAGACCCAAAATTGTTCAGCTCTACTGAAACAGCCACTCAGTTCAACTGTAGTGATGCAGAACCTTATTTTTACTGTCGACCTTTAGTCGACTTAAATAACCGCACTGTTCTCTTTAAGCTGACTGTCTCTATGACGAACTTTCCTGCAATGAACTGTAAAAACTAGAATCTTTAACAGAGAGAAACACAGCACCCACTGGAAATTCTCACCATTGCTGCAAACTGAAACTCATTAAGTTTACTGATGGAATCGCTGTCACCCCGCTGCGATGCTGAAGGTATGCTCACGATAAATCCGGTATTACGCTATCAGTAAACTTCTACAAAACGAATATTCACTAAGAGAAGGTACTTATCTACAACGTAAATATATCATCGAATTAATAACTTTCTGCATGGCACAGGAAAGTTACTTCTCATTCATACAAACTAAGGCATTTTTATGGGTAATTTATTTTTCCCTATTGTTGCAGAAAGTTTCATGGAACATGCAGAAGATCTGAAAAACCGCAAAAATTCATTAGTTTTCCAATGTCATGATATTTTCACAATACGTCCCACAGGAGAAGAAAAAAGGTTTTTCTATGTCAGTTTTTATGACATTAATCTAGCAACCAAAAAAATAGTCCCTTTCCTTGATGTTCCGATAATTAACTCTGATAAATGTTATACAAACAAACCTAGCGATGTTAAATAAATCGATTAATATGGATAAATAAGCTTACATTCCCACTACAAATAGATGAAGTGGCCAACAGTTACAAGTCAAAGGACAGGTCTGAAACACTTCGGTAAAAAATCTGTAAAGGAGGAAATAAAAAAAATTAGCCCCTGCTAATAACCACCCTAATAAATTCATTAATAACATAATCCTAGAATACTGCACTTTAAATTGAATTAACAGCAGCAATATCAGTGATTATAGTGTTATAAATAATCAATACTTAATTTCCCCTTACTAAAAATTTCTACAGCTGTATGCTACAAAAAATATCGAAGACTAACAACGCGTTAAAGTAGCTTATAAAAATAAGGAATATTTAACGCGTCGTTACGCAGTTCGCAAACTAACGATTCGCTACGGTTGGATTCACGAATTAAAATGCAACTGCGGAACATTTTGGCAAGTTCAAACGAAACATTCCGAATGAAAACAATGCCTTGCTCACACCAAATCAAACTTAAACGTGAAAAAATTCCGGAATCGTACAGCAAGCAAGATAGGATGGACAAGCGCACTGGCGTAATCATCGAAAAAAACTGGCTGAACAGGCAAGCCACGGAGGCATTGTTTATCTAGCCCTGTGACAGTTTCAACCGTCCACACTCATCGAAGACCGAGACCACTATACTGAAGAAGACAGGTCAGGTACAGGCAGAAGACGGCCAGGTCTTTTACTGTATGTCAGATCAATTAATTGCAACTGCGCTGTGCTTAATTTAAATAAATCACGTTGATGCTGTTTCAGTGTAAGTACCAATGCCAAATTAAGCACTCCATATACAGAAATCGCAAAGATCTCTATGATCTTGAAAACACTGTATTTTTCTCTCCGCTACTAAAAAATTTCATAGGCAATGATATATGAGAGGTAGACTTTCTTAAATCGACTTAATGGTATAGCAATCACACAGACTGCATCCGGTCACAAATCTGCGTCTAGCATTCTCCTCTTGTTCGTGCCTTTCTTTGCCATGGTGGTCTTTCTAAGTCAAAGATTAAATCGATGCATGTTTTGTGAGGGCGTACCAATGGCCTTTTGCCATAATGCGCGTACCACTCGACAAAAGCAGCTGTCCATTGGTAGTCGGTGAATCGTACTACGTACCAAGCTCGCTGCATTTTCCATTTTCTGCTTTTCAAATTGATGCCTTTCACACTGACCTGTCATCCGATAACTGCGTTTGGGAAAGAGAAATGTCATCTCTGTTACCGAAAGAAGACCGACAAAATAAAACAAAGTGTCAGACCTCAAGGATTGTTGTTAGTGTTTTAACATCAAAAGCAGAATTCATTCAAGGCATGATGGTCTATCATTCAGTTTATCATTCAGTATGACGACATTACTAAGGAAATATCTTTCTGAAATGCAATAACGGACATACCATCAGTCGGCACCCCCAGCTAAAGTACCCAGCAGTACTTATAGTAGACCAAAAATACGCGGATTACACTTCACAGCGGAGTGGTTGTACAAGTGGAATACTAGCACCCACCGAAGCATAGATAACATGCAACAGCGGCAAAGCTACAAGTCAAAGCAAGCAGTGCGCTCCGAGGGGGCAGTGGTAATGTGGTACCAAGCAGCCACCGAAATTCGAAGGTTCAGGGTTCAGATCCACATAAATTCTATCAACTGCTGCTTACTTTGAATGAGGAATTCATTACGCGCTACTTCAGCGCAACCAACAAAGAAATGAATAAGCAAGAATTACTTTGAAAATAACAGGTTCTGGAGTAGTAATACCAGAAAAGAAGGATGACAGCCATTTGTCTCATATGAGCATCTTCTATGGCCTTAAATTTGCCATGACCTGCTTGATAAATGACTATCCAGTGTGATAATCAACCCAAAGTGTAAACCCCGAAAAAGACAAAGTTAACGAATGCACACTTCGTGACGACAATGCGAGGATGCGACGAAACCGTTCAGCGCTGAAAAAGGACAAGCATGACAAGTATTACAATAACTTGCAATGGTCTAGAAATAGCAGTTCCCTGATAGTCCTGCAATGAAGTGGTGCATTATACAGCACCAACGAATTTCATGCGCTTCCTGGCAACATCGAAAGATCAGATAATAAGAGAGCAACGAACATCCCCACCTCGAAATCATTCGTATTTAACATGCTCTTGCACAGTCAATGAGGAATGACTGTCATCGAAAGTCATTAACCTCGACTCTGTAGCATCCATCGATGCTGCCTGCGAAGTACTGGCAAAGCGAGATGGTATAATCGTTAACGATCTAGGCACAACACAACTTTCGAAAGAACATAGCGCTCAACGCCGTGCTTGATTTGACAAAATAGGCCAAACATATGTGGGAACCGTCCACCAATCAAAACAGCGTTGAAGGAATATACAAATCACGACAACAATTAGTAAAGACAATCTGAATGCGACGTGAGCCATCATTTTCCCTAACGTCTAGCACAGCTAGTAACGTCTAGCACAATCAGTAAAGTCTAGCACAGATTACAGCCTCGTAGGATCGCTTAAGAAACTCTGACTATGACTTAAGTAAAACTATCTTGGAGAAGGACGTTCTGAACAAAAAGCCAGATCGATGAATTGAAAGCAATCGTCAGTATCAATCCAATAAAAAATATTCTGAAATCTTTCACACATTTGCCACCTGTTCTCTAAACAGCAAACAACAACTGATGGATAAAACGGAAAGACCAGACGATATTTAATTAATAATATCAAAAGATGAAAACAACAAAACACGTTTCGCAAGTTTTGGATGGTCAAGATAAAACATTTAGTGTAAAGACATTTGCCACTAGTACATCATGCCTCCGCTCACTTTAAGAAGCTTATCATCTGCAATTGTCAGATTGGAAAAGTTCAGCTGAACTTCAATTTCATTTTACACCTGCGCAGTCTTATTAACAGTCGATAATTTCTACTGGTACATGCAGTGATTACTGCAGATTAAACGAACCGAGCGAAAACTAGACAGCAGTTATCAATATTGTGGGGGGAATGAGTGAATCTGAATGACTAGAACTGAACCTTTCCTTGAAATCTGTTCAAGCTTGCTATAATAATATTTTATGATCATCACCTCAAAACATTATCCGGAGATGTATAAATAAACCGTTTTATGTATTTCTGTTAGTATGACCACCAATGCACTTATTCAATCCATAGATATCACGGATATTACAGTAACAAAATGCATTAAACAACTAATTATTCATTAAAGTGTCCGTGTCTCAAATCCAAACAGTTCGAGAAGAAGTAACCGTGATCATTTTAAAACGTGATCGGCTTTAGACAATTCTTGCTTGCCGCAATGCATACAAATGGGGACAACGCTTCTGAAAAGCAGACAATCTCAAGTGCGCGACTTTTCGTAGCACCATTAAACGAACATGAACAAAAGAGCTGAAGAAAAATACGCACCCCTGCACTACAAAACGCTGAGCATTCTGCCAAAAACTCTGGCCAGAATTGCGGCCATTCTCGTTTGACCATTTCGACGAAGCATCTTGCAATGCCTTCTTTCACAAGCACGTGTTCCGTTGAAATGTCTTTTAAGTTCT